TTTGATTGCGCTGAACCAATGAGGGCTCTGGCGATGTCCTCCTCCGCCTCGTCGTCCCTGTGGGGTTTGAATCGAGCAAACGGGCGGCAGCAATTGTGCGTCCAATGTCGTGAGCCGCTCCTTCACGGCATGCGGGTTGGGCAGCTTAGTGGAGTGTTCCTCTCGTCCCATCACAGTTCGCGTGGTTGTGTTGGCGTAGCCGAGCGGAGTCGTCCGTTTATTCCACCATAATGCAACGTGGTTGTGTTGGGGTAGCTGAGTGGACATTACCCCCATCGACGAAACATTGCGTGTGGGGGGGGGGGAGTGGGGGAGTGGAAATGACCAGAACTTGCAGTGTCATTAACCCGCGGGCTGAACATCGCAAGAGTCATCCCGCGTCTCGCTCCGAGGCCACCGCTGATCTCACACGACGGCGACGCGATGGGACAGGCATCAAACGCTGTTACGAGAAACCTCTCCCCTCCGGCTGCGTGAAGAGAGGGGGGGGCGCCGGGGGGGGGGTGGTGGTGGTGGTGGGTGAGGGGAGGGGCAGTCTCCCACATGGCGTGAAGCGGCGGGCTGGGTAATTGAGCGGTGCCAGGCCGTGCCGAGATCCACCCGGAGCGGCACGCGTTTTTGGTTGGCCCGTGGGTACGCGACAGGATTCAATGGAGCCGCGGCGTGGGTGGCGGTGGGGCCTCCCCTTGGTCGACTCAGCCTCATATGAGTAGCTTGTGCAGTGTGCAAACATCGCCACTGGGGAGACAAAGGCGGTCTGGCGTGGTGTTGGCCACCCACCTAATCTTGTGCCGTCCCGGGCTTCATAGGTGCTCGCTAACAGCACTTGCCCCGACAGTCTGTTAAGGCTTCGCAGAGGATCTTTGTCTTTGGTGGTCTGAACCGGTCCTGGGTCTCCCTTAGGTCGACTCAGCCTCAAATTAGTACCTGGTACGGTGTGCAAACATCGCGACGAAGCCGTCCTCTCTCTGGGATTGCAATGATCAAATACTGTGCAGCGGCGGAGCGTTACGAGTTGACAACGTTACTATAATTACGTTGCGTTAGCTCGGTGCAGCTCGGGTTGTGTTTTTTTTCCAACTACAAAACCAGAGCCGTGCCGCTACATTCACATACATTGAACGGGTCGAGTCCCCATGCCGATGACGGTGGAAGAGGGTTGTCCTTGCCATGAAAATACCGCAGCGGTAGCTCAGAGCCCCTTCACACGTTCAGTGTCACGTTGACCAAAGACAAATAGTTCACTACTTTAGCCCACCGGTGTGTTGAAAAGTGAATCCACAACATTTACAGTTTGAGTACGACGTTTCGCTGGTAATTACATCCAGCATCATCGGGCAATTCGCCAGAATGGTAAAGCCCTCACTTGCTCCCGGTCTTAAATAGCCACACCACATGGGGCCGGCACGGGGCCGGCACGGGGCCGGCACGGGACCGGCACGGGGCCGGCACGGGCCCGGACGAGGCCAGCACGGGGCCAGCACGGGGCCAACAGTGGCGCGGCCCGGGGCTGGTGTCTGAGTTGTGTTGAAAACGCCGTAGCCCGCAGTCACCACCACTGCGCACAACCTCATGGGTGATCATCGCGCGCTCGCTCACAATCACAGCGACCGTCGTTCGCCACTAAGTGGCGGTCGCGTCACCACGGTGCTTGTGCCAGGCTGGGTGCACTCTGGGGCCACACTCACTCACACGTACGCACACTGACTCGGACACCCACACACGCGCACTCACACACAAAGACAAAGATCGCCCACGTAACCTCAACAGACTGTCGGGGCAAGTGCTGTTAGCGAGTAGCACCTATTTAGGCCGACACAGCGCACAATGCGGTGGGTGGCCAGCACAACGCCCGGCCGCCTTTGTCTCCCTCATGGCGATGTTTACGCACCGCCCCAATACAACACACTTATTCTGGTGAAATCAGCGGACTAGGGGAGGCCTGGTTTAGATCAGCGTCATTGGTGTTCGTCGTGGACTGGGGTCGAACTCGGGTCGTTGGGCTCGGTACGCAAGGCGCTACGGCTACTGCTCCCCACTCGCTCACTCAACAAAAGACAAATATCCCCCCCCCCCCCATGTAACCTCAACAGACTGTTGGGGCAAGTGCTGTCAGCGAGTAGCACCCTATGAAGGCCGGCACGGCGCACGAGGGGGTGGGTGGCCAGCACCACGCCCGGCCGCCTTTGTCTCCCCAGTGGCGATGCTTTGAGGAGCGGCTTCCACGTCGGTGGATCTCCCTCTCTCCCCTATGCCTCCCCTCCCCCCCCCGTGCTCCTGGGTGACACCGCGAGATTCATCAGCGCCGCCGATCTACCCGCGCTGATACTGTGGGGGGGGGGGGAGGGGGGGGTGGGACTCGCGTGGGCGAGCAGCCGCAGCCACTTCACGTGACGACACAGAGACTCAGATTCGCCTCAACAGATGAAGGAACCCCCCCCCCCCACACACACACCCCACGACGCCCCGCCCCCGCCACCCCCTCATGAATATTCACGACTCTGCGCGTGGCTGTGGGTGCGATTAGGGGCGGGGCTAGGCAGAGGTGGAGGGGGGGTGATTTTTTTTCTTCCATTTCTCACAGATTCACCAACACAAAGACAAATGTCACCGCGATAGCCTTAACATACTTTCGGGGCAAGTGCTGTTCGCGAGTAGCCCCTATGAAGGCCGGCACGGTATCACGAGCGGGTGGGTGGCCAGCACCGCCTTTGTCTCCCCCAGTGGCGGTGTTTACGACACGCCGCACCAGGTTACCCGTTCGAGGCTGAGTCGACCTAGGGGAGGCCCAGGCCCGGTTTAGATCATTAACTCGGGTGTTGGTGGCCGCGAGCGGGAATCCAAATTCGGTTTCGCCGGGTTTGTAGCGCGGTGCGCTAACCGCTGCGCCACCGCTCCCCACGGTGATCACCCGCTCACCTCCCTGTCCTGGAGTGAGGAGTGGGGGGGAGCGGGATGGCTGTGTGGAGAGTCATTTCTATTTAAACTTTTGCTTCATTATCCCGAGCGCTCACGTTCAGTCCGACTGCTGTTGTCGCTGCGACTGCTGTTGTTGTTGTTGCTGCTGCTGCTGTTGTTGTTGCTGTTGCTGCTGCTGCTGCTGCCGCCGGGGTTAATTGGAGGCGCCGTGAGTTTGTGTGCGTGCGTGTAAACGCGCGGAGCCCGTCGGAATATTAATGAGATATAATGCATCTCTCTCCCTCTTAGTCTCCCTGCCCCCCCCCCCGTCTATCTCTCCCTCTCCTCCCTCCCTCCCTTCCTTAATCCCCCCCCGCCCCCATGCATCTCTCCTCCCGTCCCTCCTGCCTCATCATCGTCATCATCGTCGTCATTCCCGCCCCCTCCTCTCACGTGTCCCCCTCTATCCCACACCTCTCTGGGACTCGTCGCGCGCTGACGGGGGGGGGGGGGTGAGAGTGGGGGGGGTGACGGTGGGGGGGTGACGGTGGGGGAGGTAGTGACAGTGGGGGGGGGTGGTGACAGTGCCTTTGTGAGAGATACGCGCGTTCCCTCCGCTCCCGCTCTCTCCTGAGTCCACGTCGACACGGCCTCAAATGAGTACCACCCCCGGTGGGCTGTGTAGTAAACATCGCCGCCACTCGGGAGACGAAGGCGGTCGGGCGTGGTGCTGGCCACCCACTCCCTCGCCAAGGGCACTTGCCCCAACAGTCTGTTGAGGCTATACGGGGGATCTTTTACGCGCGCCTTTGTGATAGGACGCGTGCTCGATTTGCTGATTCTCTTCTCTCTCTCCCCGTGCCGCTCTTTCACGGCGCCTGACAAACGTGACAGCGAAATTACAGAGCTCGCACACGTGTCCCGTGTGTGTGTGTTCCGTGTGTGTGTCCCGTGTGTGTGTGTTCCGTGTGTGTGTCCCGTGTGTGTGTGTTCCGTGTGTGTGTCCCGTGTGTGTGTGCGTTCCGTGTGTGTGTGTGAGTGTCCCGTGTGTGTGTGTGTCCCGTGTGTGTGTGCCCCGTGTGTGTGTGCGTTCCGTGTGTGTGTGTGTGTGTCCCGTGTGTGAGTGTTCCGTGTGTGTGTGCGTTCCGTGTGTGTGTGTGTCCCGTGTGTGTGTGTGTGTGTTCCGTGTGTGTGTGTTCCGTGTGTGTGTGTGTTCCGTGTGTGTGCGTTCCGTGTGTGTGTGTCCCGTGTGTGTGTGTGTTCCGTGTGTGTGTGTCCCGTGTGTGTGTGTTCGTGTGTGTGTTCTGTGTGTGTGTGTCCCGTGTGTGAGTGTTCCGTGTGTGTGTGCGTACCGTGTGTGTGTGTGTTCCATGTGTGCGTTCCGTGTGTGTGCGTTCCGTGTATGTGTTCGTGTGTGTGTTCGTGTGTGTGTTCGTGTGTGTGTGTCCCGTGTTTGTGCGTCACGTGTGTGTGTGTGCCCCGTGTGTGTTTCGTGTGTGTGTGTCCCGTATGTGTGTGTGTGTGTGTCCCGTGTGTGTGTGTCACGTGTGTGTGTGTATCCCGTGTGTGTGTCCCGTGAGTGTGTGTCCCGTGTGTGTGTTCCGTGTGTGTGTGTCCCGTGTGTGAGTGTTCCGTGTGTGTGCGTCACGTGTGTGTGTGTGTATCCCGTGTGTGTGCGTCACGTGTGTGTGTCCTCGATCGTGTGTGTGTCCTCGATCGTGTGTGTGTCGAGACACATGTCACACACGAGATGTTAACTACCTCGCCTGGTAGACGGGAGGTTCGTGGGTTCGATCGCGACCCTGACGCCTGCTGCTGTATATTTGGAGTTTGCGTCTCTCCCCGTGGTTGCGTGGATTTTTCTCCGGGCCCTCCGGTTTTTTCGCTCCACATTTAAAATCAACATCGACACGCGCTAACCGTATTTGGCTGCCGAAAATTGTCCACGCGACACATTGCGCCACTGGGGTTGAGCGATCATTTGTGGACAGGTCGCCCTTACTTGGTTAAATAAAATAAATATATCTCGTCTGGAGTTAAAAAATGTTCCGTAGTTCTGTGAACGCCCTGACGGTTCCATTCGCCTCTCCCTGTCACCGCAGAAATCAGCCGCGTGCGCAAGGACATGTACGTGGAGTCGCTGAGCGGGGGCGCCGGTGGGGGCGCAGGAGGTGGGGGCCGGCCCGAGCTACCCGAGCCCGAGGGGGCTGTGGTGACCCTGCAGCAGAAGCTCTACATCCCCACCAAGGAGTACCCAGACGTGAGCCCCCACCACCACCACCACCACCCCCACACAACCCCCACTCGGGCCCGCAACGGGGCATAGGGTAGCAGTCCAGAGGGTAAATGCACGGCGGGGCCGGTCCATTCCGAGGGCCGGCGAGACAGTCTGTGTGGGGAAATTGGAAATGTGATCAAAGTAAAAAAAAATACGTTTTATTCATGCAAAGATATGTTATGACTCTAACGTGTACACTTCATTGCTTATTTGCACTCCCGGTTGGCATCAAGTCCCCACACATTCAGCAGCCCCAAATATTCCTCCTCACCGGCCCCATTTGTGTTTTTGGACCCAGCCCCCAACGGGGCAGGCGTGGTTCGCACGGAAATTTGGGCCCCGCCGTGTTTACAAAATGACCGGGCCGATTTTCAAGTCCCAGTCCGTCACTGCCCCCCCCCCACCCCCCCCCTCCCAGCCACCACCACCACCACGACCACCCGGCACGAGCTGCACATCACCACGACACAGTCAAACAGGCCCGAACATCTCCTCGCTTATTTACTCATTCATTGACCAGGTAAAAGGCGCTACCTAGCTATTGGCGGTACTCTCGTATCAGACGGGGGACCTGGCCCACACTCTTGTCATGATTGCTCCTCGTCGCAGTGGCTGCTGATGGCATCCTCGTCGTCATCGTCGTCGTCGTCATCACAGCGTGGGAATTAAAAAGTAGCAGCCAAATAACCTAAGCGTGTGTTTCTAATCCGGGCGGTGGTGTTAGCCGTGGCGGTGGTAGTGGTGGCGGTGGTAGTGGTGGCGGTGGTAGTGGTGGCGGTGATAGTGGTGGCGGTGGTAGTGGTGGCGGTGATAGTGGTGGCGGTGATAGTGGTGGCGGTGATAGTGGCAAAAACGCTGCCGCCACCAACAGAACCCATGGCTTTTGTGCCATGCTAGGTGCATTTGAAGGCCCACTGGCAGGAGGTCATAAGACAGATCTGGGTGCCATGGGTTGACTGAGATGACTGGCAGATGCACCACCTGTGCTCCCCACTGCACCACACTCTCTGCGTTGTATCCGCGTAGCGCTCCGCTCGTTGTTGCGAGCGTTGTTGCTGGAGGCCGACTGCCTCCAACTGCGCATTAGCATCCTTCACGAACCCCTCGGCCACTCTTGGACCCGACCGGGCCAGCTTCTATTCGGAAGAGAATAGTCGTGACACCGGGGCTGTGAGAGATGGGTGAGGTATCTATCTGTTCGCAAGTGTGACGAGTGAACTGTGATTAGAGAGGGCGAACGCGTTGAACGGCGTGGGGGTGGAGGGGGTGGTCCATGGTTTATGGGCAGGGCTCTTGCCAATAACATCTGGTGGCTCGGCAGGACGGTGGCAGTGGGCCGTGGTTAGCCCCGGAAGCTCGCGATGAACAGACTTCCCACTTGTATCGCCCCCACACCGCCCTCCTCCTCCCCCACACACCTCAGCACCTCCTGCCCACAGCCAACGTCTAAATGAGAGAGGTCCTTGCCTATGAACAGCTGGGCAGTTAACCAGCATTGGTTCAGGTCAAGCCTGGTCCTGCTGATGAGACGCTGAATGTCGAAACCGGTCCACGGTTTGTCCTTGCGTAGAACCAATGCTGGGGGAAATTGCGCACTCCCAGGAGGCTGATGGGATGAGTGAACAAATCAAATTCAATGTTTTTTTCTACGTGGAGAGACAAATGTGTGATGGAGGCGAATCGTTTGCTCGTTGATTTTGATAGTGACCTCGTGTCACGCGATGTTGATGGCCGTGGCGGTTGCGGTAGTGGTGAAGGTGGTGGTAGTGATGGTGGTGGTGGTGATGGTTGTGGAGGTGGTGGTGAAGGTGGTGGTAGTGGTGGTGAAGGTGGTGGTAGTGGTGGTGGTGAAGGTGGTGGTAGTGGTGATGGCGGTGGTGGTGATGGCGGTGGTGGTTGCGGTGGTGGTGATGGTGGTGGTGATGGTTGTGGCGGTGGTGGTGAAGGTGGTGGTAGTGGTGATGGCGGTGGTGGTTGCGATGGTGGTGGTGATGGTGGTGGTGGTGGTGATGGTGATGGTTGTGGCGGTGGTGGTGAAGGTGGTGGCTGTGGTGGTGGTGATGGTTGTGGCGGTGGTGGTGATGGTGGCGGTGACTCCAACACCGCTCGAGGGGTTCGGTAGTGTAGATTATTTGAACCGGTACTGGGCCTCCCCTAGGTCGACTCAGCTTCAAATGATTACCTGGTGCAGTGTGTAGACATCGCCACTGGGGAGACAAAGGCTGCCGGGCATGGTGCTGGCCACCCACCCCCTCGTGTGCTGTGCCGACCTTCATAGGTGTTCGCTAACAGCACTTGCCCCAACAGTCTGTTAAGGCTATACGGGGCATTTTTGTCTTTGATGATGGTGATGATGATGATGGTGATGATGGTGGTGATGGTGGTGATGATGGTGGTGATGGTGGTGATGGTGGCGGTAGTGGTGACGGTAGTGGTGATGGCGATCGCGGTGGTGGTAGTATATTCTCCTTGTTGATCCATGAAAGCCTCACCGAATCTCGAGACTCTTTATCAGGAGAGTCCTGTCGGGTTTTCGCCATGGTGGTGGTGTGATGCTGCTGCTGCTGCTGCTGCGTAATCCCAGCCCAGTGATTTCTCGTCCTTGGGGCTGTTGTTTGGCTAATGCCGGTTGCGTGGCGTGAACGCTGTCCGTATCTTTTTTGTTAATAAATTGGTGGCGGCTCAGCTGTGGCTCCTAGAGCCCTAATCAAATAGACTCCGCTCTCTATGCCTCTCTCTCTCTCTGCCTCTCTCTCTCTCTCCCTCTGCCCTCTCTCCCACTCTCGATCTCTCTCCCTCTCTCTCCTCGAGTTCGCTCTCCCCCCCCCCACCCCTCTCTCTCTCTCCCACTCGCTCTCGCCTCAATCAATTTTCTCCCAAACTCTCTCTCTCACTACAACTCTCTCGAAACGCAGCGCAGTAATCAAATTTCTGCGGTAAATATTCCCGTCGAGTCCGGCAGAAAATGAAGAGCGGAGAGAGTGTGAGAGAGAGAGTGAGAGAGAGAGAGTGCGACTGATGAGCGCTGTGCAGCTCTCCCGCGCGGGCCGCGTTAAATTTGTAAGACGTTCTTCGCCACCCGTAATTGTATTGAGCCCAGCTCAGCGGTTATTTATGAAAGCGCAAGGACGTGGCCCTTGCCAAGGCTACCGCTTGGCTGGCTGCCCAGCGAAAGGCTCACCGTGATTGAGAGTGAGCTGTGAAGATGACCTCCGCTACTACCCACTGCTGCTGCTGCTGTTGATGATGATGCTGCTAGTGGTGGTGAGTCTGTGTCCGTGGGGAGCGGAGGAGCGACGCTCACAACAACGAGCGGAGCGCCGGGTGGTTAAAGCACAGCAGGTTGGCACAGTAGGGGGACACAGGTGGTGCATCAGCCAGTCATCTCAGTCAGTCGACCCGTGGCACCTGGGTCTGCCCCGTGACCTCCTGCCAGCGGGCGTTCGACACTTCACGTGGCCTCAATGTGCACATGGCCTGGCACAAGCGTCGTGGTGACGTCACGGCCACTTTGTGGCGAAACGCGGTCGTTGTTGTTGTTGCTACGGGGAGCGGTGGTGTTAGTGGTGAGCGCGCTGCGCTACGAACCCGGCAATTCCACGTTCTTTTATTTCACCTGTGAGGCCACCACTGAGCTGCACAGATCTCTTTCACAGGCGATCTGGCTATCGCAAATGAAAGCCCAACGAGGTGGCTTTATCGTCGTGTGGAATTTTATAGCGGCCAAATGCTCTAAACGCGTGACGTTCATTCTAAAGTGGAGGGGAAAACCGGAGGAACCCGGAAAAAAATCCACGCAACCACGGGGAGAGAGAGAGACACCGCAAACTCCAAATACACAGCAGCAGGCGTCAGGGTCGGGACCGAACCCACGACTTCCTGTACACCAGGCGAGGTAGTTAACATCTCAGCCATCGTGATGATGATGAGAGAGAGATACCGCAAACTCCAAATACACAGCAGGCGTCAGGGTCGGGAACGAACCCATGACTTCCTGTATACCAGGCGAGGTAGTTAACATCTCATAGCCATCGTGATGATGATGAGAGAGAGAGACACGCAAACTCCAAATACACAGCAGCAGGCGTCAGGGTCGGGTTCGAACCCACGACCTCTTGCATACCAGGCGAGGTAGTTAACATCTCATAGCCATCGTGATGATGATGAGAGAGAGAGACACGCAAACTCCAAATGCACAGCAGCAGGCGTCAGGGTCGGGTTCGAACCCACGACCTCTTGCATACCAGGCGAGGTAGTTAACATCTCATAGCCATCGTGATGATGATGAGAGAGAGAGAGACACGCAAACTCCAAATACACCGCAGCAGGCGTCAGGGTCGGGTTCGAACCCACGACCTCTTGCATACCAGGCGAGGTAGTTAACATCTCATAGCCACCGTGTCGCCCTTCACGGTCGGCCCAGCCTCAAATGAGTGCTTGCTGCTTTCCGCCTTCACCCCATGAGTGGCGGTGGTCACGGCCAATAACACGGTGACGAACATCAGCACCGGTCCTGGGTTCAGATGTCCTCTCTAGGTCGACAAAGCCTCGAGTGGGTCCCTGCTGCGATGTGTTAAGGTCGCCACTGGGGAGACAAAGGCGGACGGGCGTGGTGCCGTATCGGCCTTCATAGGTGCTACTCGCAGCACTTGCCCCGACAGTCTGTTGAGGCTACACGTGGCGACCTTTGTCTTGTGGTGGTGAGTGTGGGGCTGTTGGGGTGGTGATTGTGGGGCTGTTGGTGGTGAGTGTGGGGCTGTTGGTGGTGAGTGTGGGGCTGTTGGTGGTGGTGGTGACGGGGAAGCAGCTGTTGTATGGCGGTGGGGGGCTGTTGTGCAGGAGAGGGTGGGGCTATGGGGGGGGGGGGGTAGTGGTGTGAATCACATGGGTGGGTCATAACCACCAATACTACAACCACCACCATCACACACGCAAAAAAACCTAAGATTTAACAGACTGTTGGGGCAAGTGCTGTTAGCGAGCGCCTATGAAGGCCAGAACGGCACACGAGGGGGTGGGTGGCCAACACCACGCCCGGCCGCCTTTGTCTTCCCAGTGGCGATGTTTTAACAATGGCACCAGGTACTCATTTGAGTGCTGATTTTGGCCGTGAGTGGGAATCGAACTCGGATCGCCAGGTGCGTAGCGCAGCGCGCTAACCACTACACTACAGCTCCCCACCACTCACTCATACACATTCACACACCCTCACTCACACATACTCACTCACACACACTCACATACACTCACACACACACTCATTCACACACACTCACATACACACACACTCACATACACTCACACACACACTCACAAACGCTCACTCATACACTCACATACACACTCACATAAACACTCACACACTCACACG